CTTAACTACTTTTATAAACACACGCTATAATTCACACAACTTTACTTAAGGTGCCTACTGCTTGCTTGACTCGATTATTTGTCTCTATATCTATCTCCAGCTTATGTAGCAAAAAAGAGGGCGTCTAGCAAACGCTGGGACGTTCGTGAGGTTGCCCGCTAAGTCACGATCCTTCTAAAAAGTCCAGCGCGCATGCTCCCAGCGTCGCGTGACTTCCGCTGTCGTAACAATAACCAATATTTTTATTCAAAGACCATGAAAAATAGTCAGCTCATTAGCTTTCCTTACAAGAGAAATTAAAAACAACAGGTGCTTTTTACAAAACAAAACAACAATAACAAAAAAAAACGAGTTTCTCTTTCAATTTCTTAATAATGAGTTTAATAATTTTTTGGAAGAAGTCAACACCCCAATTCATGTAGTGCCTAATATTTCACACTATCTTGTAACTCTTGTGCTACTTAATGCAGAATAAAACAAATAAAGTAAAACACTCACCAAAATACCTTTATTAACAAATACGAAAAAAAAAAAGTTTCAGGTAGCAACAATTCTTCATCGGTTTGCAGTTAAAAGAAAACTGCTTATTGAAGAGTTAGGATATAAGAAAAAATAACAAGTGTCCTGAAGGCTTGAGAACACATTTTTAAGCTTAGAAATAGAGAGATGAAAAGTGTTCGTTTGTAAAATTATTTTCATTTAGCGAGTGTTTCACCTTATTTGTTTCATTCTACATTTTATAATTTCCTCGCCTTGCATTGTTTTATTACCTTTTGGTACCGTATCTTACAAGGTGTGTTGTGTCGATAAAAAATAATATTAAGAGAACTTATCCATAAATTAATTGAAAATTGTTTGCAAATCCTCCCAAAAATTTAAAACTTCTTTTACATCAAAGACAGCATTCCGTTACTAAAACGTTCCCACCTCATATATAAATATTCATATTCTCATTGTAAAGAGAGGCTATACTTTTCAAATAATCGAACACGAATTAAGGAACATCCGAAAATAATATTTGACATTTTATCTTCTTTACAAGAGTGAGTATGTATAGAACCATGGTATATCTACTCACAGCAACCAGTTTTCAATCTTCGGCTAAGCTGATTGGGAGAGGATGTTTAGGATTGAATAAACTTTATAAATCAAAACTTGAAAACCAAAATTTAATTTAAATAAAACTTCAGTAGCATTAAGACTGTAAATGTGAGTAAAAAACGACTCTATTGAGTCGATTGTGGAGTGTTTTGATTTATGAAGCTAATAAAAACCAAAGCTTAACTTGACCACCATTCTCTTAGGACTAAAAATAGAGGGCGTTACATATTACGCAATATACAAAAGCCATGATGGGATAACACCGATAACTTACGAAAGTTGCACAATATACTATAGTAACGTGTGGTGGTTGAATGGAAATATTCTTTAGTTTAGGTGAAATATTTTTTGGTTAAAAAAGCATGGTGTTAGAGATTATTAGTATATCAAGTAAAATATAGTAGTTATATTACATTTGATCTCTCATTTATTTAGTATTAATTCGCTAATTGTAATAGAAATACTAATGGTAATACTACTTTATCATATGATAATAATATTAATAAGTATTATTCATTTAAATGTAACATTGTAAATGTAAATTGTAAGCAAGTTTATAATCGAGACAAATACGGTGTAGTAAGGCTTAAGCGTAATTAGCATTGTTTAACCAAATGGAGACAGACCGACATTTCGAAAAAATTCTGTTACTAGTATTGGAGTTTGCTTTATTCTTCTTATTGCTACTCAACTTTTTCATGCTGTTTTTATAATAATAATGATGTTATTATTATAAGAGTTTGACAATTTGTCAAAAGATTGAAAAGCTTTCATTAGGGTACACTAAGAAGTAACAATGATATAGGTCTCTGGAATGATTACGTATATCTCACAAAATGTTATTGGCTTATGTCTGTAATATATACATATAACATTATACACATACTACTCTTTATGTAATATAACAACCTGAAGGAACATTAGGTCTACTTATGTAATTGCTTTTTTTTGCATTCAATTTTCGGAATATCAGCTCTTTGGAACAATGACCCTAGCTTCAGAAATATAGTCCTTCGGAATATCAGGCTGTAACCAACCAAACTTGTCTCGCCCACTAGTTACAGTAATGTTAATTGGGTTCTTGTGCATTTATATTTACAGCAATCAAGATGAGAATTGGCACAAATATAAAATTATGTGCACACAAAACGGTGAAATACAAAAAAGTTAGATTTGTCCATTTTGAGCCTTTTTTTTTTTTAGGAGGATCAGAGCTCACAAAAAAAAAACATAATTTTTGGGTCTGCCATTTTTTGACCAGCTTACATTGGATTTGATACAAATATACTTTTTTACAGGTCCCAAGCAGTGATATAGACTGTTTTCAACTTTTCTGTGTTTTTCACAATTTTTCTGGTGTTAAAATTGGCCATGTTTAGGAATGTGTGGCAATGAAATTTTATATTTGCATGTGAATGTCAGCCTCTTTAATTGTGTTGTTGCAATTTTGTTATGTTTATACATTTATGTATATTTCGATTATTCTGTTGTAGACACTTCATGACTACTTGGGAACTAGTTTCTGTTAAACAACCTAAACTATAAATTGTAATACACACTGTCACATAATTGTATAAAATTGTGAACATGGAAGAAAGTAGTTTCATGTGCTATATAGCCCTTCAACCACATTTTACTGTCCTGCCATTGTTACGATCGTGAGTGGCGACATTATTTTGAACATATTTTCTAAGAGTTTACCTCTGACGTTGGATAGTGTCATCGGTAATAATGACACTACCTGATTAGATTGCATTTTTAATTTTTTATGCTCTACAGGCCTTTTTAATTGTATATAAATCTTTTATCGACATATATTGGTTTTAACTCACTGTATTTTTACATTTTACTTTATTTTACTTTCACTGTTTTTACTGGTTGTTTGGCGCAGATAGCCTCGTTGCTTTGCGCCATAACACACCAAACAACAACAACTAGCCCTTCAATTTTATAACTTAATTAGTAAAAATAAGTATGTGACTGTATGTTTATATACTTATTACATTAAATTATTACACAAGTATAGTTTTTTCAGAGATTTACTTTAATTAACTATTACACTGCTACTTTTATACATGCATAACTAAATGATGTTATATACAGATGTGTGAGAATGTTTCCTCTCATGAAATATGTAATTTAATGAATCATTATTTAAAATTTCTATGTAAGGACATGTACTCTTTAATCTTTTTTTTAACTGTATTATATTAACAATTAAAATTATATGCCAATCATAATCATTTGTTTAATAGGCAAAAAAATATTCTATTGCTCATCTATTTGCCTCTGGATACAATGTTTCATTTATATTGATAAACTTTGAGTTTACAACATAAATAAGGTCTGATTTCTAAGTGTTCTGGACAAAGATTTGCATATTTAGTATTTTCTATATTGTATAGTCTATTCAGTTTTTTTTTCTGTGCAATCAGGTAACCTGCAATAAACCAGGTACAAATAGTGTTGAACCTTTTTGTAAGGACTTAAATGGAATTGCATGTATTTAATGTTCAAGTTCATTACTGATGTTTAATATATTTGTAAGTTATCCATTAATAATATGGTTATGGTACTTGGAATATGCACAAGTTTAGATAAATAACTATTAAAGAAGTTCAATAAACTGACCATTTTTTTAAATATACTTTTGGAAAATGTTCTAAATAAAGAAATATGAACAGTATGCTTTTTTTGTAAAGTTTATCTTCAATAAACTTATGAACTAAAGGTACATTGTAATTAAAAAGAAAAATCTCTTATTTAAAAGGATTATAATTTAGAAACTGCTTATTGTAGGGTAACAATTTCATCAGAAGCTTGTTAAAACCACAAAAGTTTTATTCATGAAAGTTTAGGTATGGTACAAGGTGTTGCAATAACTTTCACAGAAAGTGGTCATTGTACTTTCTTACTTTTTCAATTAGTATATCAAAACTATCATTAGATGGAAGTTACTCTAAGCATTATCTGTTCTGGTTAGTGTTCATTGACCTTGCAATATTTTGCATGTTGACATGCATTTTATTCAAGTATTGTTGAAGAGAGAGAAATAAAGTACTCTTAATTAGATTGAAAAAAAATATATATATGTATATTGGATTAGGTATACAGTGTAATAAGGCTTTGACAGATACTGTACTATTTTTCAGTCTTCATGAGTAAAATGTATTTTCAATGTGATTCTGATAATATTTGTTCTTCTTGGAAGAGTATGTTGTAATAATTCTAAGTATGTGAGTTTTTTTTTTATTATTGTTGCCCTGTTTGATGTGAGGTTTTTACTGAACCTCCATACAAGATTTTATTAGATTCTGATATTAAAGTTTTGAAACAAGATTTAGATATTTCTCTATGAAACAAAACCATGTTCACTTTTAGCTATCTATGTTGTTAGTTTATTTTCACTAATTTTGAATTTGTCTTCATAAAATGAAAGTATTAACACACATTGAATCCAAAATGACCAGACTTGTACTTGTCCTGGTTATTGATAAAATTGGTTATAATTATGCTGAAATGGTAAATTATGTCTAGTTAGCATGATATACATGTTGAAATTCATCAATGCACCACAACAACAATAACTAAACTTGAATGCTGTTTACAAGTAGACCAAGCCAACATACATGCAAATCTAAAATGTACCATCTGTTGACCTAACATATACAACAGAGTTGATTAAGTTGATATCTGGATGCATTATCTGTCTATTAAAATACTTAAATGAGACACTTTACCTGAATTGTAGTTGGTTCATAAAATGTTAAAATCTTGAAATGATAATCTTTAAATATTTTTCAGTATTACTAAGATTTTTGTAATTTTTCTTAATTAAAAACTTTGATTTATGAAGTATCACTTCATGTCTTTGTTCTTGTGTAAATCATAAGATTTATAAGTGAGTTATTACTACAAAGTAAGTAATATACAGTTATGAGAATCATGTACATTTACACTTGTAAGACATTACCCCTATGATTAGATTTTACAAATCTACAGGTTAAAAAATGGTTATATTCATAAAATTCAGTTGTTTAAACAATTATAATTATATTGTATTTCCTTTCTTTTTAACAGATGAGGATGTATTTTCAGTTTTTATATTTCAAAAAATGAATTATGGCTGGGTACCTAAATCGATCACATTTGTTGAGTCCAGTAGAATCCAAATCTCTCAGTCTAGATGATAAATCTGATTCATTCTTAGCAACTCGAACAGAAATGACTACTAGTGTCTGCTGGTTACCAGATGTTGGAGACTCACCTCTGAAAATTTTTGTTTTAGCCAAGAAAAAGATTAATGATGTATTTGTTGGTATTCAGAGCTACGTAGAAGAAAGCAACAAATTCCTGTCTAGTAAGTGTATGGAATTTTTCATGTCAGCATTATTAGTATTTAACTTCAGAGCAAGCTACCTTCTTATATGAAAAATAAACATAAACCTGGTATTGAGTGTAGTGTTCTTACTTTCTTATTGAATGCATTGTTTCATATATATTTTTGGCTGTAAATCCAGTTATACCTGGCATGACTTGACCAGCCTAGGGAATTTAGGTTAGTCCATAATTCGTATACTAAATTTGACATGCAAAATAATCTGTGTAATAAAAGTATGATGGTGATAAAAATTATAAATCCAAGTATATTAAACATTTTAACCAATATTTCTAGTGAAAGAAGCAATAGAGTATAATTTACTTAAACTGATTTGATATTATAATACTTAGCATAATTTCTTTATTTAAGTAAATAGATTATATATATATATATATATATATATGTGTGTGTGTGTGTGTATATATATATATATATATATATATATAGTGTGTGTGTGTGTGTTATATATATATATATATATATATAATATGTGTGTGTGTGTGTTTGTTTTTCAGGAGAAGACTTACTGTAAGAAAAAGTTTTACATGCCATTTTTTGTGGGCTTAAAATAGCAAGTATAGTTTGGGTGCTGTTTAAACAAGTTTTATATTTAAAAGTGATAATATTAACTTAACATTATATTTTTTGGTAAAGCTTTATTTGGACTACTGTGTGTACTTTTGTTCACCGAACTACATGATGACAGTTAAAATGTTTAAAGCATTGAAAGATAGGCTACTAAAATGACACCTGGTAAAAGGAAATTGAGCTGTGAGAAAGGGCTAAAGATTTCAGCCTCATTTCCTCTAGAGTCAAATGTATACAACTGTAAAATTGTTAGTGATTTTGAAAGTATTCCTGAGTATGATCTCTTTGAGTGGTAGAAAGCGAAGATAGTGAATGTGAAGTTTAATATAAAGAATAATATATGTAGGCTTTCACACACATTTAGCTGAGGATGTGGCAGTAAGAAAATCAGCCATTTACCAGTTTGTTTGATTATTTATTTTTTATATTCTTTGTACTTGCTATGTAGTCCCATCAACTACCTTTGTGTTGTACAAAGTAGCCAGACACATGACAACAAATATTGGTGTTTTGTGTTATTATGAATCTATCTTCTCTTTAATAGGAGAAGAAAAAAATTGTATTCTGTCATACCTCTTTGTAGGCTTTGGCTATTTCTAATTTGCTTTACCCCTTCTAGTTCATGGTCATTTAAAAATGAGAATTTCCACTAGATGTTTAATTTTAAGTTATAAAAATATATTATCCATATAAAATTCTAATTAAACAGTCCCAACTTAAAAGACTTTTCACAACAAATAAATTAACAGACTGAACTTCAGGAAGCAAAGTTTTAAATTAAGATAAGGTTTATGTACTACAGTTCAACCAGTTTGTAAGAAAGAGTGGTGTTAGTACTCATCAGAAAAAGAGAGGAATTTGGAACATGATTTTTAAAATTGTAAAGTGTTTCTTGTTCTTACTTTTTTGCCAACACAGTTTCATATGTTTTGGGCTAAAACACGTAGCCAACACTTGCTTTGTCTTTTCAATTATTTTGAAAACTGAGCAGCAGTTATCAAGAGGTTTTGTTTCCTTGGTTACCTTACATCCATATTATTAAAACACGCTGTTTGAAACATATTGCTGTGAGTATACATAAATACATGTTTTGTCTGATATTAGTATATATCTTTTTACTTGTTTCATGTTGCTTTTACAAATATTCATAATTGATTTTATTTACATTTATGGCTGAAGAGAAGTCAGACTTGATGTTTTGTGTACTCTTTGTTTTGTGAAACTAATAAGACATTTTCTATTATAATACATTAAAGGTTGAGCTCAAGACACTTGGGATTTTATGCTTACTTATGTTACATATTGCAGTTGTAGATGAGTACTGATTGGGAACTTACAATACATATAAATCACTGATATTTTTTATTAATTAGAATTATATATTTTATGCATCATTTTCAAAATGTTTTGCAATAATTTTACCGAAATAAATAACATAAGACAGACTAGATTGTTAAGTAAATGTTATTAATTCACAAGCTGATTTAATGCTTACATAAATGTACACCTATGTATCATAAATTTGTAATATTATCAAAATGCTTATTTTACACTATTTCCATAGAAATTCAAAATATAAACACAAAATTATACCTGTTTTGTTTGTTACGGCCTTGTCCCTTGTAACTAATTATTATAATGTATTTAGGCAATATAAAACTGTTCAATAATTTGTTTTGAATATGAGCAGTTGTTTTTTCTGATATACCTACATTATCCTTGCCTTTCTGGCTAACTAATGATTTTATAGACACTTTGATTTTGGAGAAATACAAATATTGATATAATAAGCAGGTGACTCACCTGTGCTCTGGGAAATTTCAATTTAATTAATCTGTCATGTTTAATCTTGTCAGTTGATATATTGTACATGTACATATTAGGATGTACCCTTTTTTACTGTTATTTTGTAGCGATTTTGAAGATAACCTGTATAGTAGATGAGCTTTTTTATAACCTGTATTATAGATAGTGAAGACTTGCATGTTACCATTTTTTATATTGCATTTACATGATAATCTTTTATAAAATCAATTTCAGGCATAAAAGTAGAAAGCAATATTGTTTCTGAACAGCTAGTAAAAGAGACTTCAAACTTCAGGGAAAGGATAACGGGGATTCGAGATGTGTTAACTCGTGACCATATGAAAGTGGTGTTTTTTGGAAGGTGAGTCTCTTTGCTCCTATATAAGGTGGTATAGGAGGATGTACATGTGCATACATTTGTGGATACTGAACTACATCAGATTTTGGTCACTGATATGCTTCATAAATAACTGTGAATTTTAAATAGCAAAAATGGATGTACAGTTCATATTAGATGTATATTTGTTTGAATATGCAGCAATAAGAAATTGGAAACATATATATGTGTATATATATATATATTTGTTGAAATAATGTGTCAGAAATATAAACTTGTTTTATCTATATTATGTAAGAATATGAGACAATGCAGAGGGATATTAGGTTATTTAGTTAATCAAGGTTACCCTTCCATTGATTAAAAAAACATTCAATGCATTAAAACCAAACTAAATGTAGCTGTTCACATCCAAACTCTTATTTAACAAAATTTATGAACAAAATTAAATTTAGCAATACAAACTATTTTATCAGATAAACCATTCCACAAGGTTATAACTCCAGCTGAAGAATTATATTTTGCTGAGGAACAAGTCTTATGTACAAAATTTACACTTTTTGTTCCTAATTTTTAGTATTTGAGTTTTTATTTCCAACCTGTTTATTCTTTCACTTGATTGTTTTGCACTGAATCATCTGTAATTCTTCTTTACTCAAGACAGAACGAGCCCAAAACTTAACATTTTTCTACTTAGATCTAATTTGTTTATATTGGGCATTATTTAAGTAGTAGCCTTTCTCAGTACTTTTCCAATTCCTTTATATCTTTCCTGTAGGACATGAACTAAACTTGCTAACGATTTTCCAAATGAGGCCTTATGAAAGTTATATATAATAGTACAATTACACCTTATTCTTAAATTAAAATAGAAAAGGGACTTCTAGGATTGAATTTCTATAAATAGATTCCAGAAATTTGTTTGTCTTTACACAACTAAATGTTTAGCTGAAGATCTCAAACAGGACTCAATGTTAATGGTTGTCTGATTGTTCAAGACAAATGAAAAGTTGCTTTGGAAAACTGAACTTGCTTATGTATTTATTTAATCATAAGTGTGAATAAAATCATTGATGTAATCTTTGTTCTTATTAATAATAAGTCGAATAAATGAATAGGGAAGCAAAATTTACAAAGAATAAGCACCAATTTGTTATTCTTTTTCATTGTCAGGGCCATGATGCATTTACTTCTTGTAGTGGTTCAGTTTTCTACAAGGCAGTGTCATGTTATAAACATTGTAGAAATGTACAGTTTTATTTTTTGGGAGCATATTCCAATTTTTCTTTTAACCAATTAGTGTTTATTTTCATACTTTGTGAAGAGACCAAAAAATTGCTGACTGATCATACAGTTCTAAGAACTTGCTGCTTAAGTACTTTTAAAATATTACGAACTGGATAATTTAGAACAAAAATGTAAATCAGAAATTCTTGAAAGCAAGAAGTACAACAGCTGAATTATTTACGTATGGCAGTGTTATCCAGTTTTTATATTTTTCCACGCAAAAATGATTCTGAAATTTAATTTTTTTTCTGGCAAAAACACTGTAATTTTGAGTGGGTTTCTGACTGACCGTGATCTTCACATAAACAATGAATTTCTCTACTTCAAATTTTTTTAAGCAGGGAAGTGCCCATTTTTAATCAGTCATTGCCTTCTGTTACCAAGCCAGTTTCTTATCCATTTTGTGAGTTTTTGACCAATTTCATTAGCAACCAGTCTGCATATTAATTCTAATAAACTTGGATACTATATGGGAATATATTATACCATACTATAACACCAGTGCAAAACAAGTTGCTGTCATAATCAGTTCTTTCATGAAAGGTTATTAGCATATGAAATAGGGTTTTGTTGTTATCAGTTATACAGCATTTGCTTTAGTTTAATATTTTGTTTACTAAGATATAATAAAATATATACTAATACCACTTATGGTAAATAAGCTATGAATAATATGGAACATATAATTATATGCAAGCTTCTAATGAAACAAGCTTATCTATTAGGACTGGGTGTTTAACTCAATCATTAAAAGTAATTATCTGTGAGCATCAAGTAGTGTCACATAGAATAATGTATTAATTGAAATTATAATTTAATCAGTTAATGTAATGAAAAAAAATGAAGTAATTAAAAATTACTGTTTTTGATTAATCCAATTATCCAAATAAATGAAATATTGTCATTATGATTTCTCTCTATTATTTTTAATTCCTGTTTTTCCAGCTTAATCAATTAGTATTATAACTTGAAATTAATCAAAATGAGTGTTTCTGGTTATTACTGTTTTTTGATTATCGCAACTATTCAAGTCATATAATCACCACTATTATGATTCCTCATTATTATTATCATTTTTGATTAATTCAGTTTGTTTAGCTTAATAATTAATGTCATGATTCATAATGAACCTGTCCATAGAGTGCAGCTTTGATCAGAACGAACCTGACATTATGTCAAACAAAAAGTCAACACCATAATGAATGGTCTGGATTTTGAATTCAAAAACTTTATTGAAAATTTAATTATTATTCATTTCTTGATTTTTGTCTTTTTTTCTGCTCAGTTTTTATACAGCCTTTGTTGCCACCCCCTTTTATGGTAACTTACCAATGAAATACGTCTTTTGAAATAGCTATAAATAAAGATTAGATATGATTGGATAGAGCAAGAATTAAACTTTTAATATCATAGTATAGTAAATAAGGTGGTTTGAGTAGTAGTTTATGGTTTTGTGGTAAATGTTCTAGCTGAAGCTCATGTAATGTTGACCAAAGGCATTCAGTGAGAAGTTTTGAAGACTTAAGAAGAACAAATGACAAGAGCTGGGAATGTTTTTTATAGTCTCTTAAACATGCTTTTCATTTGTTAAAATGCATGTGTGTTAAATTATATCTGTATGAAAGCTACAGAAATTTTCTTCAATAAGAAGGTGTCAGTGAAGCTTAATTAGGTTAATAAGTAGAATAGTCAATGGTAAAGTAATTTGGTGACTTAAATCTTTATTGATTAGATATTATTTTTATATTTGTTCTTTTAAAACAATGTACATAAACAAATTTGCTAACTGGATGTAATTATTTCTAATTACATCTGTGATGTGCTATAAATAAAAACATTATTACCATTATCAGTGATAGTAAAATACGTTTTAATTATTTGATTTATACAAGCTCAATGGGAGATTATTGCATTTTAAAAAACAAATAGAATGGTGACTGTTTTCTTGACATTAACATTTTGCTAAGTAGGAAATCTTAAGATTGTCTATAAAAAAGTTTCCCAAATGTTTTTGCAAGAATAAAATCTTTTAGCCCAAACATATTTTTTTTGCCAAAATGAGTAAATAGCAAAAGCCAGAAAATGTCTTATCATTTTAAACATAGGTTAGTTTGAAAATGGCAAATCTAACTAAAAATAGGATGATTAATCTTGTGAGAATAATTAATTAGTTGAATGTAATAAATTAATGAACCCAATGATTAATCAGTTAGTAAATTTTACTAATCAACTAGCTCTGCTATCCATATCATAATGTTTTCATGAAGGAACTCACTAGAACAATGGGTTGTAGCTTAGTTTAAACCTTTAGTAGAAATTTAGTTAATTACTATTTATATTAAGATATAATACAGTGTGTATTTAAAACTGGATAATGAGTCAGTTGTCTAAGCCAGTAAGAAATGGTAAAGTGTGTGTAAAACTGGATAGTGACTTAGCTTTTGCCACATGTAAGTTGGGTCTAAGCCAGTAAGAAACAGTAATAAAATGTGTGCAAAACTGGATAGTGACTTAGCTTTTAACGCATGTAGAGTGTAAACAAGTAAGAAATTAATTTATTCATGTTTCTTTAGGACAAGTAATGGTAAGAGCACTGTGATTAATGCCCTCCTGCAGGATAAGATCTTGCCTAGTGGCCTCGGTCATACAACAAACTGCTTCTTACAAGTTGAAGGAGGTGATACACCTGAACCTTATCTCCTTACAGAAGATTCTAATGATCCTCAGAATGTACAGGTATTTTAATTTGAAGAATTGTATTTGAGAATATCCACTTAAAAAAAATAACTTACATGAACAACCCAGGAGTAATATACAGTGTATTAAATCATCATTCTTAAGAAATATAACATTTGTTTGTTTTTTATATAGACTTTTTTGTGTTTTTCTAGTCTTATTAAATATTTATTTGGTGTTTAAGTTAATGTTTGTCAAATTTGAGTAATTAACATGATTATGCAATAATTATTTAAAACATTACTGATTAATGATTGTAACTTACTTGTAGTAATGTGTTGTATTTTAGGATTTTATAAAGAAAATTAATTAAATTGCTCTATTTTTTTTGGCTGGGTCCACTCTGCCCAGAGGGTAAAGTTGCTTTGTTGAATTCAAAGAAATTATAGAAAATAAGCTTGTAGTCTTTCTTCCACACACATTTTTAGAGAATACTTCAGAGTTGAAATTTATTTAATAAACATTTTTTAATTTTGTATATACGTATTCTTCTTAAAAATCAGCAAACTTTGATTTTGAGCTGCTTTCAGCATGCACCAAATGAAAACATTAATGTTTATAAAGTTTGACTGAGCATAGTATTGCATACAAAACCCCATTAATAAAAAAAGAGAAAATATTTTGGTACAAATTAGTGCCAATTTGAAACTTATAACTTCAATATGAGTGTAGTTTTTTTAACTTTAGTTAATCACCGTTTTTTTCAACCTCGGTGCGATGCAGTTGTTTATATCTCAGCTTTGAAAGTCATAGGCTAGTGACCTAAACACGTAATGAAACCTAGAAGAAAATATGTTTGTGAACAACTTCCACTAAGTTTATACTCCGGATTTTTTAAAGCTTGCTTTATCATTTAATACTTCATTTGAATTGTGACATTGCAATGTGTTAGGGAAAAATGTTTTGCATGGAACAAGATGAAGTAGGCTTAGTTAGGTCATTTTTGCACTTGACTGTATTATGGCTGTTGTATGTTAGGCCTTATTGGCCTAAATAACTGTTTGATTGGGCAAAGAAAGTCACCAAATTGTAAAAAGAAATATATATAAAATGGGTTTAAAAGTTATTACATACAGTAAGATAAAACCTTCTGATTAATGATTCAAAAATGTTGGCTTGCTTATAATTCTGATACCTAAAAAGGTTGTTTTTATTGCACTCTGTTGATTATAAATGCATTAAAACTGCACATGGTGGTTCTTAAAACAAAAAAGCCTGTAGTTTTATAGACTTAAAACTTTATTGAAAAATTTTACAAGAATGTAGGAAAATATAAAGGTGGCTACTATGGCGTGTGGTCTACACAGATACTATCATCATCAACGTTTTAATGATTCACTAAAACATTATTTCTTGCTAAATGATTTATATCTATCCACGTTTTTGTAAGGCAAGTGATAATAATTTAATAAAAAGAGTACCTTAAATATAGGTTATATTTGTGCTAGTTTTGAATGTTGGAACTTATTTCATTCCAATTATATTTGCCCCAAAAATGTTATGTAATGGCATTTTGTACTTTATTAGTTTAAAAGTGTTATTTATAATAACTGGTGTGATTTGCAACTAAATTAAAGTTAAAATGGTGGTGATGATAGTATCTGTGTAGACTGCATGCTACATTGTAAATATCTTTGTAGACCGCATGCTATAGTAGCACCAACATAAATCAGTAATTGAAATCTACAACAAAGGAAAGTAAGCATTTTTAATTTTCTCCAAAGAAACATATCACAGTTAAATCTTTAACTTTCCAAAGTTAGAAATTCATCCAAATATCACATATAAAAATATTTTATTTTGCAAAAACTACATAATGTGAAGAAAAATCATCTCAAGTTTCAAACAATTTCATATAGTAGTTTTTTTTTACAATCTAATAAAACAAACTTTATCACAGGTGTGTCGAATTGATACACTCGGAAGAACTCCAAAATATTTGTTTTTAAGTATATTGGCTTAGAGCATTTTATTTATTTATAAGCTAAGAATTGTTCTTGATTAGAGACTAGTGACATGCTTAATTTTATCAATGATTAAGTACTTTTTTGTTTTTGCTTATAAAATTTTATATTTTGGGTATTGACAGATACAACTTAATTAGTTTCCTTGTTTGTTTGAAAAAAATTTATATTTAAATACTTGGACAATTTTAAAGTGTTCTGCAGTTTTGTACATCATGGGTATGTTTACTTCCTTTGTTTCTAGTCAGTTGCTCAGTTAGCACATGCCTTAAACAGTGAAAAACTGGGAGACAGTTCGTTGGTGCGTATCTTGTGGCCAAAAGAAAAATATCCGCTTCTAAGGGATGATGTGGTATTAGTTGACAGGTGAGATAATTAAGCAAAGTTAAGTATTTTGGAGCTTAAGATCTGGATATTGGATTTTAACTTAATAAACCTAACATGAAAAAATATTTTGTCAAAAGAATCACTTCTATTTTTTTAGTTAGTATAGTTTAACTGTTAGAAAAGAAATAGATGTGAAATGTTCTGGACCAGAGGGATGTCACTGATGTTTTTGATTTTTTCTTTCTCATAGTGAAAATATTTAGCCAAGTTGCATGAAACTTAGTGTGAAGTTACTAAATAATATATAGTTTCTGTTTTAAAACAATCCATAGAAATTAAGTATTCCTATCAATTTTATAGGTTATGAAACTGCCAAAATTTTGATGTGAAACACTGTTTTGGAAAAACATTGAATGTACCTCTTTTCATGGTAGAAATTTTATCTTGATCAGAAAGTTCCATTTTGTATATTGGGTCAGATTCAACTTGTATTTAAAATATTTATTTTTATACTTTGTTTTTCCAATTGAAGTAGTCACCATTTCTGGCTATAAATTATAAACATGCTGCAACTAACAAAAAATTCTTGGTGACCTAGACCTTCTTAAAATGTCATCACTTTTACCTCTGTTAAGTTAGTTATTATGATTGTTGCTAATAGTATTCTTGGTTAGTTGTTATCTAAAAAATATAACTTGTTGTCGATAAATAAAAATTTTTTATTTGTGTGCATTGTTTGAATATTATAGACATAATAATTTTCAATAAATAAGGATTTGAGTTATTGGAATATTAAGCTTAACCCCTTGGACGCTATAATCAGATTTATCGGACTTGACATTTATAACCATTTAGTGCGACAAGTAGATTTACCCCACGGTGTCACAAAAACTTTTCCTTATAGTGCAATATCAGGATACTCGCACATCCTTGAATTTCCTGCTTTAGTACTGCACATGCGTACTAAAGCAAGCAAAAGCACAAATAGTTGATTTTTATATTGAAAAAATACTAAAAAAAGGTCAAATTCTACACTTCATTTGTTAGTGGATAATTTACACTTTTCAAGAAGCCACCCAAAATTTAATTATGCACTCAAAGGGTTAACTAAGCTTACTTGATATCTTGTCATGGAAGACATCTGTAATATTCAAGTGCACACAGTTTAATACAAAAACATTTTCTTGAATGAAAAGAACTTCTAAAATAATTACAAAACATTCTCAGGTCTAGTATTGTGAACGTAGTATTAGAATCTTATGATCATCACTACAGGGGCTCTAGGTAGCTGGCATCTTGAGGAACTACATACTGTTTTATTTACTTTATACTGAAATTTAGAAACTTTATTATTCTGTCATTTTTAACCATTGGCTTTAGCTAGTTTTTTAGCTGATTTTAATTAATAATTGTTCAGAACATATTTTACATCATACAAGAGTGGCAACAAAGGCCTTTAGTAATTAGTAATAAAACCACTGACCCAGAAAAAAAAAATCATGCAAAAACAAGGCATGAATCATATTTTCAAGGGATGATAGTTTCTTAGTATTTATTAACATGTTCTTTGAGATGGGTTAAATAAATCTGAAACAAAATTATAAATATGTTGCTTACAGATGAAATCTCTCAGAACTGTAGAGAAATAAAGTGAAAATATGTTTTCATTTTTATTTGCAAATTACCTTAAATAATGACAAAATATTAATTACTAAATATTTTTGATAAAACATTGTTCAACTACAGTTGAATTTTTTATTTTTACTTAAATTGTAGTTTGGTCTGTAGGTGTGAACACTTGGTATATAAATGGGTCTCACCTCTTGTGATAGGGTTTAGGTTTCAAGGTGGGTTTAATTACAATATGGGATATGTTTATTGTTTTTTTGTATTTAGCATTCATGTATATATTTACTGTAGAATTATTTTTGCTACTGAAGTATGCCAAAGCATTGGGACCATAACATATCTCAAAATTCCTTGTATTTGTTCTTCATGTTATTTGTATCAGTTTCTATCATGTTCTGAATATTTGTATCTAGTGGCTAAACTATCTGAGGAGGCCTTGTTTTTTGGCTTATGTACTATAATTAAATTCAATAAAGTGATAAATGCCGAATCATACAGAAGTGATGGCAATGTTTAAAGAAACATTTTTAAAATAATAACAGTTGAAAAATGTGTTTATTTTTGTGTGTTACGTTTCTGTGTGCATACAACGAATGGCATTATTATTTTTTGATATTGCTCAGTCCAGGTATAGATGTTTCTCCAAACTTAGATGAATGGATTGATAAACACTGTCTGAATGCTGATGTCTTTGTTTTAGTTGCCAATGCAGAATCTACACTGATGCTAACAGTAAGTAAATTTTCTTGCATTTTCTTCAAGTACTATTATGAACAGTGTACATTTGACAATGAAGATTTGTATTTTAGAATCTTTGTTGTTGCAGTTAAAAACTGTTAATTATATTTTTTGTGAAACAAAACACTTTGTTATTGTATTTTTAAGTATTCAGTTGTTTGAAATAAAAGGCTCTGTTAAAAGATTTCCAGTTGAAGTTTTAACTTAACATAATTCCTTAGATTTTGAAACCACAGTGGCAAAAAGCAGGGAAGATTTTAGATATATGATAAATCTATTAAGATCTGGAAATGTTTAATCTGTTAATTGAATGTTATTGATGGCAAGAGTTAGCAGTATAGAAGTTCATCTGTGAATAAAATTCTCATTATACTTGAACACATTTATATGTTGTTAGTAGTACACATCCACCAACAAAAACTGAACAAAGGTACAAAAACATGCTAAAAACTATTTACAAAAATAACACTAACCACATGTGGGAAGAAGTATATATATGTTCTGTTGCTGATCTTCTAGAAAATTGAGGTTAATATAAGGAAATCTATTTATACCTCCAGATATCAGCAAGTGTCAACATTTAGCTATAGCACCAGTACTGAGAAGATAGGGAAAAAAAAAGAATAAATAAAACTAATGTTTATTTATATATAAAGTAAGAAAATTATTAAGTAAAACTTGTTTGATAAATAAGAAAATAAAAATCCTGTTTAATTAACCAAAGTAATGCAGTAGAAAGAAGTTACAGAACTTGGGATTAGTAATGTATATATATATATATATATATCAGGTAAAATCACACTTTATGCACACTTGGTCAAGTTTTAAGGAATGGAGAATCAGAAATAAGAAAGAAATGAAGTTAAACCCTAAGAAGTAGCCAAAAGGTGCAAGATATATTTAGGTACTTAAATGTTCACACTTACAATTTGTATCAACAATGGTAAATATAACTTATATTACTAACAGACAGTAATCTAACTAGACTGATGAACTCAGGTTATACTATAGAAGGTGTTATGTATCTAACAGTAGCTAGCAAAAAGTTATACTAATGGTCATTTAACATACTAAAATTGTTCATTATTTTGTTGCTAAATTAAAAAGCAAAAATAAATAGTTAAAAAATTATGTACAATCATGAATATTTTGAAAAAGTTGTGATATTCTGTAAAATTTAAACTGCCCAAGCAGTAACAAGAAATGTTGAATAAACTTACTGTTCAAAATATAAGAAGAGATAAAGAACCTTGTTTGTGAAAAATATGTATGAGTTAATGAGATCTGTCTGTGAATTTTGTATTGTTGAACAAATTCTATTACTTGGAAATTCAGTGTTTCTTTTGTTAACAATTTTAAGTTTGATTATTTGATGAACAGTAGTTAAGTCTAAAATTCAATAATCTTCATTCTTTGTACCGAGAGAACTTTTCTTTCCATAGTGATCTCTTGTGGGTAAGTGAGCTTAGCAGTATCTAAAAAACTTAATAAATTTGATAAAATATTATTTGTCAGTATACCTACAAGAACAGTTAATGTGTGAAGCTGTGTTATAATCATCTTAATTAAGTTTGTTATGACTGAAAATTCTAGTTCAATACTAATTAGCAAATTTTGAGTAGAAAATTTCCAATCACATATATTACATGTGTTTGTTGAAAGGCAAAATGTTGTCATGTTTACAGAAATATAATGATATAGAAGAATAAGCACATTTTCTGTACATATCTGGTTAAGATATTAGAGTTTATGATCAAGATTGTAAAAGCTAAACAAGGTTTAAGCTAATCTACTTGAGAACTTGTTACTGTTGTTTAGATTTCATCTCTTTTATCTTATGGTGTGAGTCATTACAGAATTAATTTTGATGATCACATATTAACACCATTTTAAGATGCCAGTTTATTTTTCAACTTTTTTCTTTAAATAAACTATGTGTTAATGTTGTTCTTTGAAACCTTAAATTATAGCCATTGCATTTGAGTTGCTTTGCTTCATGTAGAATCTAAGTGTGTATAATTCACCTAGATTTATTTTGACGTAGTTAAATGGACTTACTTTGCTCGTGTGTGTGTGTGTGTGTCTATGTATGTATATATAAAAAATCAAAACATTACAATGAAACTAAAAATTCAACAATAATTTTCCATTTACCAGTCCCTGTTGTCATTATTAACTCGCAATGGATAATGTTTGTGGCTATAGCACTTAAATGCATTGAGGATATTCCATCTATCAGAGAAAATCGAGATGCAGATATCAAATTAGCCAGCAACTATGGAGGATCAGTTAATGGTTAGGAGTTGAGTGTTTAAACCCACGATTTCTTAACTCCTACTATCTTTCACTGTCTGTAGCCAGTTGTGAGAAGGCAGTTACTCTTGATATTTAGATATAACCTTAAGAAATAAAGCCACCCTAAAAATTTCAGAATGTAAAACTTCCATCCTCCACTTTTTTAAATATGCAATGTCCAAGAAGCCCAAAATATTCTTATAGTAGAAATAGATCACTATATATTTATACAAGACTCCCAACCTTCACCCTTTTATTTGCAAAATTATTTTACAGAGACTAAAAAACCCTACCTTAATAATTCTTAAGCTCTCATCCTCCTTCCTTTCTCTTGAAGATTTGTTTTTGTATCTCCTGGACAAGCTGAACAAACATCTTAAGTATTTTAAAGTTAGTTAGTTATAAGCTAACGATGACACTGAGTAACTAACAACCTCTTAAGTTCTCTACAAGTAGTTTACGTAACTGAGAATTTATTTTTCAAAGGAATTCCATATTTATTGTAAAGTAAAAAAAAATGTTTACCTGTTTGTACTTATAACCATAATTTTTCAATTTATTTATAAAAAATTGAACATTATCTATAAAAGAATTACTACTGTTATATATTATTAAAAGTATTTTTAATTGAAATATAATAATTCCCTTTAGAAGTACAAATGGAACAACACTATTAGGAGTGGATAGACAAAGGATTTCATTCTTTTATCAAAAATAGTCAACTATACTCTGCTTTCTAAAACATTAATGTCTAAGTAATGTGCATAATTATCACTACTGTTGCTTCTTTCTATAACAAGTTCCTTTGGATGGCCCCCCAGTGGCACAGCGGTATGTCTGTGGACTTACAACGCTAGAAACCGGGTTTCGATACCCGTGGTGGGCAGAGCACATATAGCCCATTGTATAGCTTTGTGCTTAGTAACAAACAAAACAAAAAATCATTTGGATGTATTAAGTTTGGAATAAAACTCAAGTTGTTGATGTAGATTAGATCTATGTAACAAAAAGTATAGATATATAAATTAGCAGAACAAATACAATTTGGCCATGTTTGAAGAGAAATTAGTACCCATTGGAGTACCCATTATTTGCTTATACACTCATTCATTGAAAGTAATATAACCATTACAGATACAAAAATTAAGTATGTTTTTACAGTGATGATTAGTGAATTTAAATTTTTGGAATAATTATTTCTGTATCTACAAAATTGATGATAGATCAATAAATGCTCTGATTAAATCTTTCAGAATTATTTTAGTATATAATGTGGTAAAATCATAAGTAGTAACAGAATGGGCTGTTTTTAAAGAATTGAAGTTTTTTGGGGGAAACATTCTAACTATGCATGCTTATGCAGCAGGTTCTCGGTCAGAAAGCATAATGGTCGTACATACAAACAAGCAGAATAATATTATAGATTTATATTCACATTTTTGTAATGGCTTTCTTTAAGTTATTAATAATTGTAATTTTAGTTAAAGAGCTTTATATATAATTTCATTTGTTGTATTGATTTCATTAATTAACATTTGTGCATATAATATTTTACATTCAAAACCAAAATTACAACCAGCTTATGAATAGGGGTAATAATGAATTGTTCTGGAATTTCCCTTATTTTTAAAGATATTGAAAGAAATATCTATCTTATACTTAGATAAGATTAAAGTTTTTAACTAGTTTTTATAGAATCAATGAAATAGTTTCCATTCAAAAAAGAAACATGGAGGATAATGAGATTTTCTACTTATATTGATAATGTGATCATCTAATTTTTTTTGAAATCTTTTAAATTTTCTACTTTTTTTTCTTTTTAAAATTCTAAATTTAGTATCTTTTTTCTAAAATCAATATTAAGTCCTTATCTTTTATAATTTCTAACCTACCTATTAACTGGGAGGGGAATGGGAGCTTAAGAACTATTAAGGTAGGACTTTTAGTTCTGTTTAATAATCATATATATAAATAATCATGTATATAAAAAGGGTGGAGGTTGAGAGTTTTACATTGTAGAATTGTTAAGTTATTTCTAAATATTAAGGGTAACTGCCTTCCCACAACTGACTGCAGACAGTAAAAAGCAGTAGGAGTTTAGACTCAACTCTTGACCATTAACTGATTCTACATAGCTGCTGGCTATTTGTTGTTGGTGTCTGGATCTTGTCTGATAGATGAAGTATCCCTAAATGTTTGGGGGCTATGGCCACAGACATTATTTTTTATAACTTAATGATGACAACAAGGACTAGTAATTGAAAAATAATTGTTTAATTTTTATTTTCATTGTAATGTTTGATTTGTATTACATTTATTATTGTTTTATAGTGCTGATCCAATTGCCTATTGACATTTAATGTATCTGATAACATTAGAGCTATTTATTTATTTATCTAAATATATATAAGTAATATTCAATAAGAGATAAATTTTATTTTTCAGGAAAAGAATTTTTTTCATAAAGTAAGTGAACGTCTCTCTAAGCCCAATATTTTCATCCTGAACAACCGGTGGGATGCTTCAGCCTTTGAACCAGAGTTTTTAGAGAGGGTAGGTTAAACTTTTTTATGAAATTGAACCTATAGCTTCATCGCTTAGGTAAGTGAATATGTAGCTGTGAATCACAGCTCATTTTTATGGTGAAAAAAGAATTTCAATTAGACTATACTTAATACCTACAAAAGGAATATTTTGGGTTACTTTATTGAAATGTTTGGTTACGTTTTGAAATTAGTATGGACTGAGCGACGTCTATTGAAGTGTTGAATGCGATTATTTGTGCTTAAGTTAAACAATGACCTCATCCCTCTATAAGTCATGACTTTAATTAAAAATTACTTTACTTGTGTTAGGAAATTTCACTGGTCACCCATTTTGCTCAATTGTCTTAAAATATTATCTCTGTGCATGTTAAAGGAGCATGGGGAGGTCAACTGTTGGGTGTTATTACTCATGGATGTGTATACAGTTTATGTATGCATACTTATCTGATTGTAACTGGAAGAGTCCAGATGTGCAGTTGGGTGGCTAGTGGCTGTACTAGGCATAGGCCCAGACATGCACTCAAGGAGGCCTGTGCATAAAAATGGCTTGTGAATGTATAAAACCAGAATGTGTTAAAAAATATATTGGTGGGAGGTGCTTCTAGGGAGTTGTCTTTGATCCCTTTGGTCAGCAGTTCAAAATTAGTGAGTGGCATATAGCCTTAGTAACTTTGCTATAACAAAGACAAGGTGAGGAAGTTTGATGACATTGGGATTCAAACCTGAGACCCTCAAATCAGGAGTCCCCCACATCTTATCACCAAAGCTGAACAAACTAGGAGTGAATACAAAAACTTGTAAGGTTAAAATTGGGCAGAGCACAGATAGCCCATTATATAGCTTTTTGCTTAACAACAAATAAATATAATAGCATTATTTCTATTGCTTGAATAGATGGAATGATCAAGCTAGTGATTATTAGAAACACTAATAAATTATATTGCCCATCTCTACTCAATGGTAAGAGTGAGGGCTTATGTTGCTAAGAATCAGTTTCATTAACTGATTGGGTAGATCACAGATAAAACATTGTGTAACCTTCTACTTAACAGCAAACTAATAAGCAATAAACACAATATTTATAAGTTAATTGAAAATTGTTAATTTAAAACAGAAAAGGGATCGTCAAAAAAGTACAGAAACAAGTTGAATCAAAATGCAAAGAGTATATTTTCAAGTGTACAACTAGGGACTCTAAAACCAAGTAAAAAAACTAGGCTGGAAGTAGTGTCTACATTATTTTCTTCAATTGAGAAAATAATGTAGACATTATTTCCAGTCTGGTTTTAGGTTTGAAAATTCTTTTGCATTTTGAATCAACTTGTTTCTGTACTTTTTTGATGATCCCTATTCCACTTTTTGAATTAACGATTTTCAGTTGAATGTTACATGTTTTTCAACAATTTACTGCTGCATTGAATTTTATTCCACCCAACCATTATTTACCAAGCCTGGTGGTTGTGTGATTGGGGTTTCTTATAAACACTCATTTAAAAAGCAAAGTATGAAAATCATTAGAATAAATCACCACTCACAAGAGTAAAGAGAAATCTACTATGGTAATTGTCTACTGTTAGAAAACTCAATGAAATAGTCACAGAAAAGCATAATAGTGACAAAGTACAGTAGCAAACTCAAGAAATAATGAAGAACAGTGAACTTGAGAAATTATGAATCCTCAATGTGGCAGTTTACAATTAATGTGCTATAAGTTGCACAGATTATTTTCCAATTAATGCACATTTGTAAAATACTGGAATTTTTCAATGGTGGAAAGTGAAGGACTTAGAGAAATACTTCAGGGCAATGAAATGAAGATGCTTAAATTAATTTTGAAACTACCCTATGACATACTCAATACTGCATTCATTACTATTGTCCAGGTTTCAGTAAAATATTTGTAGTTGGGTTTTTTTTTCTGTAATGGCTTGTAAAACTATAATTAATAATGATAAGGCTGGAGACATTGTTATAAGTAGACACATTGTTTACTCTAATAAGTAGCAATGAAGAAATTGATAAAATATCTCTTCTTTCAAGAATCAACATAAGAAATAGTCTTTGACCTGAGTAGGAGTTTTTTTAAGTAGGTTTGAATGAAATATTCATAGCCATTTTGTTCTGTAGGCTTGTGAAACAAGAATAATATGAATAATAATATGAAGAACAAATGGATGAATTTTGTGTAACAATTGGAAAATCAACTTTTTTTACTATTATCAATACTTTAGCAGTCTTAGCCATTGGGATAGATGGTTTTGAATGTTATTTCAATAATAAGTTTGTTTTTTAAAATGGTTTTTACTCGTGTTCTAATAGAATGTTTGTGAAATTCCTGGGTGAACCCTATTATTCTTTGCTTAAACTATGTTGTTTTGCTGTTGTAATCTATTTATTTACCTTCAGGATTCTTGTATAACTATTCATAATGTTTCTAAACGATTTTTAATATTTTGAACACAGAACTGAAAAAAGCAAGCTTCTTCTTCTACTTAATTTTCACTTAAGATTTCTTCAGGAAACTTTATGGAGATATTTCTTATTGTTTTAGGTAAGAAAACAGCATCTGGATCGGACCATAGCGTTTCTAGTAGATGAACTACACGTATGTACACGCCTAGAAGTAGAAGATCGTGTGTTTTTTGTGTCAGCACGAGAGATGCTTCAGGCACGATTAAAGATAAAACAAGGACTAGCTCCTCATAGTAAGCTATAAAATTTTTGATAGTAATGCAATTTTGTCTAGACATTTTATATTCCCAGGATTGATGGAAACTTGGTAAATTTGATGAAATATCAGACATTTTATATTTGGTTAATTTTTTTTTTTTTTTATTGAAGAAAGGCACAATGTACCATATGCCATTGAATTCTTTGTGAAAAACCCTCATCAAATTATGCTTATGTGGTCTATGAGAATAGAAATAATGGGTGTACCAAGTCTGCCTCTATGGTAAATAATAGTGTAAAGAACAATATATTTTGAAGGGAATGTTAAATACCAAATAAGATTTACTTACTTGACATACACAGTTTTCTGTAAGAATAATGATAATGGTTTTTCTTTAGCCAGTCAAACTTTTATTATAGAATTAAGTTTGGGACATTTGGACACATTTGAAATATACTTGATGTACAAGGAAGTCATGCAATGAAAAAATAAGATTAACAGTGACATTGCCAAAGTTCAAAATCACAGTTTTTTTGTATCATTTATATTTTCTTAGTGTGTATGGAAGTTCATAGAGAGATTTAGAAATGAGTTTTTAAAATGAAATTATATAGAAAATTCTGCCAATATTTCTAATTTTATACCATTATTCTCTCATATAAAAATAGAAACAAATAATCTTTATACATTCTAAGAGTAACTTGAAACCTAAGTGTTACAGGATGTTGAAAACAATAAAATATTTCATAAATACAATACAAGTATTATGTTGTAAGATTTTACAGCTGTACAATAATGATTTGGATAAAATGTTTTTTTGGAGAGCATGAAAAATAATATAGTTTTTATCTTCCTTTTTTTTTGTGTGTGTGTGAAGCGGGGGCATTGGCTGATGGATTTCAAAACCGATACTTTGAGTTCCAGGATTTTGAAAGAAAGTTTGAGGTAAACAGTTTTATTAAAGGTTATACTCTGTTGTGTGTCTGCTGTCTGGATTTTTTTTTTAACTCTTGCTATTAAAGATTATAATGATTATAACGTGTTGTGTGTTTTCTGTTAAGATTTCATCTAGGTTGTTTTAACTCTTGCTATTAAAGATTATAAGATGTTGTGTTTTCTGCATATATCCTTAGGGCTTCCCTGAGATCATTCTTAAGATCTGACCTCCCTGGGGTCCCCTATGTCTTTCGTGGGCATTGAGGAGATATATTAGCTAGGTAACATTTCAATGAAGGCTTTGGATCTTGAAACCCGGGTAGTTGATGAACTCTGATTTTGAGAAAAGGTTCTCTCTGGCAGTGACATATAACAGAAAAGTGTAATTGAGCTACAGTTAAACACTGTTGATTCTAGAAAGTTATAGTGGGCTAATAAAGATAGTTGTAATAAAAACGAAAAATTAATTTTTATTCCAGTGATGGTGTATCACTTTCCTACCTTTTAATATCAGTATTTAGATGTGCATGCATTATTGACCTACATGTTTGTAGTGTCAATATTATTTATAAACTGCTTTAAACAGCTACTTCAATACTCAAGCATCAGAGCATCTATCTTTTGTAGTAACAAAAGCCAATAACATTTCTGTTTAGTCACATCTTTGCTTCTTAAACTTGGTATAATGTGCAAACACTTTCTGTCACAAATCTTGTTATTATTTTGGAATCCAACTTATGAAGAAGTAAAGCACTCGCTGGGGGTAATTTGCTGTATTATAGTGTGATTTTATGTATTTCAGCTTTTATTTTGTGTGTGTATTTGTGTGAAAACACTTATATTAGTGTCTTAATGATTTTTAAATTGCTTTGATTGTATGGGTGGTTCTCTTATGGGTATTCCTCTCCTTGCTGGAATCAAATGTCTCCGGTGATAAGCATTCTTTTTAGGCTGTTTATACTTTAGGATACTGTTCTCAGTAGTCATCTTCCTTCTCTAGGTTTTATTCACTTATCCCATTCAGAAAATCTGATTGAAAAAATAATACCATGCAATAAAACTACAATTTGCCATTGTTAACATGGCATCATCTTGTATATTACACCACAGAATATAATATTTAACCCTGTGTACATGGGAGGATCAAAGTGTACATGTCATGATCTTTTTACAGAGTTACATTTAAAAATGAATTAAATTACTATATTAGCAATATATGTTAATAAACTTGACATTAAAACATAGTTTCTAATATGGTACATTACCTCTTTTCACAGATATAGCTATTCTCGTTCAGTGCTGCCCTCTACATGCAAATTTTTTTTTTACATACCATAAGCCTTGCACTCCCATGTTCCCCATGGTCATTGTAGTTTGACTGCATCTTGCATACAAATTATCATGGGACAACCCCCACCAATAGGAGTGCGACACACCCTCCTGACATGACTGCCACTGTTGGATTCTATCAAACTAACTTCTCATTTGGCAGAGCTATCGTCAAGACATTTTTTGTTTGTGCTCTGTTACCGCATTTCTTTGTTAAATATCATACGAAGTGGAAATATACTTCTATTCTTTTTCCTACTTCACTTTTAACAGGTTTAAGTGATAACTTACTTTTATTGTTCTTACCTTTTTATTTTTTTTCACTGAATTTTTATGTTTCCACTTCAAACTGATCTCATTTACTTCTAGCACATTTACGCATACTTTGAGTGGCAGTACTCCACTGAGGAATTGTTGGCTTTAATTCATCAGGAGATTAATTGTTGTATGAGTTGACCTTCATCGGGTCTCGAGTTTGGGGCCCACACAATTTGAATATGGTCCACCAACTTTGGACAGTTAAGCTGTTATACTGTTATAGATTTCTGAGTATTTTTTGATATTAATATCATCGTTTGTGGTTATTTGAGTTCAACAACATAAGTTTAGTTAGATTTGTAAATACTTATTGTAAGATTTAGGTTTTAAATTAGAGCGTAGTGATATCCTTTGTACTACAATGTTAGATTAAGCTTAACAAATGTCTTTGTTATTTTAGGGCTTATTTGTATTTCGTCTTACTGGTAAAACAAATTAGATTAAGTATATTGTTTTCTTCGATACATACCATATAATAATTATTTTTTTATTATCAATACACACTTTCTGAATTTTACAATATAACGAATATTTCATTTTCGTAATTATTTATATTTTTTACTTCTTACACTTAACCTTCTTCTTCTTCCAATATTGCTTGCCTTCCTCCTAAAACTGCCAAACTTATTTGGGAAGACATAGATTTGGACATTTTTCCTCTATCTGACTATGACTTGCCCTGCTAGGCCAACCTCAGTCTTTTTTGAGCATGTTTCACAGTATTTTTTCCCCCTCTTTCTCCAAACATTACGGTTAATGCTGAGCCTTTTTGTCTCTCTTTTGACAGAGGGTGCTCACGTGTCCTCCACAAGCTTTGGTTCATTTTGCATTAGCTTCCCATCAGGCAGATTTTTTTTTTCTTGATTCTCTCTCTCTCTGCACTTAGAATCTATGTTGCCTGTATGGGAGGTGGACCCTATTAATTCTATCCTTGTATCTCTTACCATGTGTTTCAGCCTTCATCTTACCCTATTGACTCTCCTACAGGAATTGTCCACCATACATCTCCTTTCTGAGGCATTCCACCTATACTTTGGGGATTTTTGTGGGATACCTTCCCTCTCATTGCTGGGGTGATTGCCATCTTCAGTTCTTTCCCTACACATTATAACAATTATAACTTACAGTTCAAGTTTTTATATTACATAAGTTTTAAGGCCTTAATTTCAAAAGGAAATATTTTAACTCCATTCTCAATCTGTACTTTTGAGTTGCATGATGCAATGGCTCTTTGACTTTTCGTTTATAGATTTATAAGGGCTTCTGATTATTCACCCAATTGGAACCATATACTGTACATATTTACAAGCCAGAATATAAAATTTCAACCCCTTCTTGCTTTACTGAAGTATCACTATATTTGTTCAACCCACTCGATATGCCCTTCCCATATCCTCTGTCTTTTAAGAAATGTCTATGATGCTCTCTGACATTGCTGTTGGACATGTTTGTAACCATTAGAAAAGGCATATTCTAAACTATTCTAAATCAGACAACTTTTTCTTTTGTCTTAGTGGTCAAAGGTGATAGCTTGATGTGGTTAGACTAGAGATGATGTTTTGAGCATTAAGGAATTTTTTTTCATGTTTTTTTAGAAAACCAGTTAAAAGTACAGTATAGTAGTGCCTTATATATTTTTTGCTTTGTAAATATATATATATATGTACATTTTTTTTGAAAGCTAAATAAATTATTTTTGGATGATGAACATAATGAGAAAACAATAGACTTACTAAACCATTCAACTTTTCATTCACTATAGATTACTGATTTTGCTACAGTTAGTGACAGTGTGTATAGAAAATAGAGAGAAAGTATAAAGTTTTGCCAAAATACAAACACTTGATATTCAGTTAGGTTCTAGTGGTTATGCAAATGAAATATGAAAGCTGTAAGATGGAAAGAAGTATTTTTATTGTTAACACGAAAATCAACTTTTACTCGGACTGTCATGTAAAGGTTGTATAAATTCACAGACAAATCTATAGTAAAAATACTTTATTACTAATCAGCCAAGTTGACTGAGCCCATCTCCATATGGTTAAATACACCTAACAATGATGTCATGAGTATAACCTTGACCTTAAAAAATATCTAAGCCTACTCTTTACATCTGATTTCTGTTTTATTATAATAGCTTATTTTTATTTTACATCTCTTAATATTAGGTTTACAGCAAATAATTTTGACAATTTTATTTTCACTTTGATGTTGCGTATCTTTAAAATGTTTGTAGATGTGATGGAGCACTTCCATGTTTCACTATTCTTTGAACTTAGATTCCTTCTGCTCTCCCCTGTGTAAAGAATATTACAATCTATATATTCTACACTATAAGTTGCCACTTTCATAATTACAGATGGTTTAATTATGTTTTAAAAAAATGCATTCAACCTTTTTCTTTTATTTATACTTTTGTTCAGTAGTCATCAATTTGGCTAGACATGTTGGCAGGCAAGAGCCTGTTTAAATTGCTAACTTATATGTGATATAAAACAGTTAAATGTTACTTTTTTCATATGCCAAAAGTATATGAAGTAATGGAACCACTATGTCTAATAATAATGATAAAAATTGCTCACTTGAAATCTTTAACGTATTAATTAAGAAGAATTTAGAAAAAGGTTGAATACTCTTGTGATTTTTATCACTATTTTTAGGTTTGTTAGTTTAATTTCTTAGCCAGATTTTGGCATTTAAAACCATAAAAGTAATTTTTTTTTTTGCATTTAGAGAATATTTTAGCTGTTTTTCTTAATTATTTATTGTGCTTCATTTGATCGACACTTGAATTAATTTGGTCAATTTTCAGTCTCAGGTTTTGAAATATTAAACTCTGTTTTACATTGTTTGCCTTGCCCATCATTGGCTCTTTTCAAGATCGTAAAAAAATAATTTGAAGTGACAGTTACATCGAACTTAAATAGGGTGTGCTCCAATTCTTTTGATTTATATTACATTCTTAAACTTGCATGTTCTTTTACTTGTGTCAGTAGCTTTGTTGTAGCAGAACCCATGCAATCTTGCTTGCAAGAAGTACAGGTAAATTGATAAACTATCTTAATGTTTTAAATGAATAATTGTTGTCTTTATATCTGAAGAAATACTGCAAGCAAGGTTACATTGATTCTACTATAAGAAACCTACTGATGTCAGTCAAAGAACATGCTAATTTAAAAATGCAGAATTATTCAAGTATTTTGGACAGGACTTAGATATGACATAGTTGTCACTTTGTATTATTGTAAGATCTTAACAAGGGCCAGTGACGAAAAAAGCCAATATACAAAATAGAGCTTACTCATTCATAAGTTGAGACCAAAAATTAACCAGGTTAGTTCAGCTTGTAAATTGCTATATATTTAAGAAACATGTTGGCTATGTATATAGTTATCGATGATAGAGACCTATGTTACCAGCTTGGATACATTTTTGACAGTCTTTAATCATTTCAAAAGAAAAAACAGAAATACATTACTAAAAAGTAAAAATGCAAAAGCTTTTCATGATTTTTTTTTTGCACGGTTATGCAAAAACATTTATACTGTGTATATAGAACATTTATTTCTAATGAATGTTGACAAATCTTTATATTATGTTGGTTGTGCTATGTAGCTGGAGATCTTGGTCTTATAATTGTAGGAATGGAACTATAATTATATCCAATTTTCTCACCTTTATCTTCTTAGGCCTGGTATGGCCTGATAGTGGGTGCTTAACTTATAATCTGTGGATCATGGGAGTGAAGCCCGACACTGAACATCTTCGCCTTTTCAGTCATGAAGGCATATAATTTGATGGTCAATTCTATTATTTTTTGGTAAAGAGTAGCTCAAGAATTGATCGTGGTTACTGCTTGTAGTTGGCTGTTAAAAATTTATGGATGATGGCGGATAGCCTTAGTTGGTTTGCCATAAAAAAAACAATTATTTTCTTATTATGATCTTTATAAACTTTTTGATAGGATATGAACACAAAGTGTTATTTGTGGGAAGATTGTAACTCAAAGCACTTGAAACAATTCAGCATGGTTTTGACATGCATGTTAAGCAGAGAATTTAGTTAAATATTAAACTGTGCTTTTTCCAGAATTTGATTAGAGGTTTATTCATCTGTTAGTATATATCCCACCTTTATTCATGCACATAGGATTTTGTTACTAAGAAAGCTGAGCTATGCATGAAAAGTTAGAATGTGTTGAATGTTATCACATTGAGTTATTCTGTTTACATAATGAGAAAAGGTTAGGTCAAAAAAATTGTGAACATTGATTAATGATTCTTGACCTACCCTAAAATATTCTCCTGTTAAAAGATTTCAGGCAGTTGGTTGAAATATGTGCATGGTGGGAAAGGGTAGTTATCACACCAGGCAGCTGAATTGTTTTTATGATTTCTTGCTTCTAAAATCACTGGAAAGGTAATTTAAAATGTACCGAAATGTCCTAAGGTGACATAAGTTTTTTGTTCAGGTAATCAAAACATTGATAAACCCAAAGTATAACTTATAAAATTGCATCTTCTTTCTGTAAGAGTAGATTTCACAGTTGACAGTGTGCCATACATTTTCATGTGAATTAATCCATTCTCTTCTTTTGAAATGTTTTTAAAGTTGGGTAACTGCTTATTTTGATATTTATTTCAAAACTCAGAATTTGACTTTCTTTGGTTTTCTCTTATAAGCCCTGGTATTAATTAATTTTATAATTGTTCAATTTAGGATTGTGAAATTTTCTACATTATTAGCTAATTATTTTGGCATCAATATATTGTAGTGTTACTTTTTACTGTATAATATGCAAATGTGTGTGTGTATATATATGACAAATGTTTGGTTTTCTAGGAATGTCTGTCAAAATCTGCTGTAAAAACAAAATTTGAACAACATACTCAACAGGGTAAGGCCATCATCAAAGCTTTGCAACATATAATGGAATTAACTTTTGAGAATTCTCATAAGAAAAAGTAAGTTAACAAAATGTTTAACCCTAGAATTATTGATGGGGGTTTTTGTATCCTATTTATTTTTTTAAACATTTTTCTAATTTGTTTATTTACCATATTGCTTGTAGATCCAATAATTCGGTAATTATGAGGTTCCTAATAACATTTGAGTTGCGTAAAATAATTTAGAATATACCATCAGTATTCAAGTTAATCCTAGCATTCACTTCTGGGATCCCCCTATGTATGTTACATAAAAACTGAGTGATTTCATCTAATATCTTTTGCTAATTTCTTTACACTGATTTTTATAACAGATAAAAACATCAAATTACTTAATATGATGCAATATGTGGACCCTGCCAATAGTCAACAGTGTTGTAATAACAAGTTGGTAATTTGAAGTTTAAAGTTAATTTTACAGTTCATGACATTTTAACGCATAAATTTGTACTATACAGAATGTGTGAAATGTTTAGTTTTAAATACATTGTTTTTAGTTTAAAATACCCTTAAGAATTATATTGAAATTAAAAATATAAAACTAGTTTCTTAACTTTTAATTACTTTCACGTAAAGAGCAGTTTTGTGATTTTAGTTGTATCCCTGTTTGTTTTTCATAATGTTGTCATTAAATACATTATGTTTTTAGTTTAAAATACCCTTAAGAATTATATTGAAATTAAAAATATAAAACTAGCTTCTTAACTTTTAATTACTTTCAAGTAAAGAGCAGTTGTATGATTTGACTTGTATTCTGTTTGTTTTCCATAATGTTGTCAAATTTAAAAACTAATTCGGAAATCAAATCTTGAACTATTTGTTTTTATATAGGAGTAAAAACATTATGCAAAGAACATTTGAAAGAAGCTCTCTATAATGTTATAAATATATTGAATTGTATGAATTATAATTAAGTATATTGTTAACAGAAAGGAAAAAATGGAACTGAGAAAAGAGCATAAAGAGAGATTAGAGTTTACCCAGCAGCAGCTGCGCTTGTTAACTGATGAAGTAAAACACCATATTGGGCATTTAGTACACAAAGTTGAACAGCAGGTAGCAAAAGCATTAAATGAAGAGATCCATCGGTTAAATGTTCTTGTTAATGAGTTTGAGAGACCTTTCCATCCAGATAATTTGGTTCTTAGTGTCTATAAAAAGGTATGATATGATTATTTTATTGCTTCATTTCAATAGTACATTCATCAAAGTTTTTGGAATGAATTACTGAGTACATTTTTGTATATCTCATTAGAAATGTTTTTGTATTTTTAACAACTTCTTTATTATGCAACAGGCTGTTACAGCAAATCTGTGTATTTTTGTATGTAATAAACACATCTTAACCCTATGGTTACGGGCACTCCTGTTCTATGAATGTTACAAGATTTCATTTTGTTATATTCAAAATTTAATTAAGCAATCTTACAATCAATGTATACCAATGAAATTAGCATTAAAATTTACATTATAGTTCAAAGTCTTGTATTATCTTAGTTTTAATTCCTTTATTTTAAAAGAAACCCTAAAGAAAAATTCTTAAACTTCAATTAGATGCAATAGTTCACAAAAACCTATTTTCTGGACTTTGTAACTTGAACACTTCTTGATGTATGCTAACCTTCCATGTATAAATAGAATCTAGGTTAATTGTTCTGTTTATACATTCTTCTTTCAAGCTCCTTGGGGCATGTTAGGAGAAAATAGAATAAATGTCTTGGAACTCTTGACAGATGCCACGCCACTTTTTTAGAGTTGCAATTTCACATCCAATTATACTTAGTTGACCTAGATGTTTAAAACCAATAGAAAGACCACATTTTAAAATACAATCTCCCAATAGTTACTTTGAAATTGGCATGAAGAATTCCATAAAGAACTTGTCAAACCACTCTTAGCATTGTTGCTGCTTTTATCCTCGCTAGCATTGTTTTTCATCTATAGATATGTTAGTTAGAAAGACAATTAAATTGTATTTGGGTTTTAATTTTATAGTTTAGTTAATTATGTATTACTCATGTTTTAAAATATAACCAAAACTGTCTCAGTTCATCAGGCTTAGTATAGTAGTAGAGTATTCCAACATTCTGACAAAGGCTAAAGTGTCTCTGCCTATGATACCCTGATATTACTCGAGAACACCCGTTGACATGTGTCACGATAAGTAATAATGCTAAAGGACAGAAAAGGAAAATAAAACATCAAAATAAACTATATGTAAAAAAGATAAACTTATAATTCAGAATATAACCAAAAGAAGAATTTTCAAGATTATTCAACAAAAAAAAATTAAAAGGTATTTACATTTTTATTTTTTTTATTTTAAACATTTCATTGCACAATACATTAATGATAATACTCGAAATATTCAGAGTCTGGGTACAAGTAACTAGAATACAAAAATAACAAATCTTTAATTAAAATAATCTCATTCTTTGTATACAAAATACTTGTAATCTTTAACCAAATCTTACCAATTGTTATGAAGATATATTAAGAAAGTTCAGAGCTATTATAAGTATTGTTGAACTGTGTATCATTCTCCATAAAAGAAGTAGCCAAATGGGTTCAATCCCATAAACCTAAGGTTAAAATGTCACATTGTGATTGAAGTAAAAATCTTTGAAAGAAACAACACTTAAATCTTTTCCTAAACCATAAGTAGGTTAACAAACTTTTAAATGTTTTATTGTCAATTATGTTAGGTTTAACTAACAACAAACTGCCAGTCAAAATGAAGTTAAGAGAAATTAAACAAACTCACAAATAATTGCCAACTGTTGATAATACATATCCTGAAAGGATCTTTCAAATGGCTATATAGTTTTACTTAGTTTAGACGAGATAAAAAGTAACTATAATATTCTAAACATCACATTACAAAATAAAAAGTCATGATTTTTTTATTTGTTTATGTTTAAAAAAGTAAAGTAATCAAACTGTCAATTTTCTATACAGCAGAATTTGATATATATTTTGTACTTAAACAAGTAATGCATTATAATTTCAATTAATTCTTTTATTTGCAAATAACTTATTTCTGTAAGCTAAAACCACGTGTAGCTGCATGATATGCTGAAATAATAAAATATTCACGTATTTCAACACTGATTTGTTTCCTTATAAGTATGTGTGCAATAGCTTCCTTTCCTAAAACCACAATATCTTTGATCCTCAGCTTTTTTGTTTTAAAACCATATGTTGTTAATTGTGTTGGTTAAAACCATATGTTGTTAATTGTGTTGGTTAAAACCATATGTTGTTAATTGTGTTGGTTAAAACCATATGTTGTTAATTTTGTTTGTTAAAACCATATGTTGTTAATTTTGTTTGTTAAAACCATATGTAATTAATTGTGTTTGTTAAAACCATATCCTGTTGATTGTTTTGGTTAAAACCATATCCTATTGATTGTTTTGGTTAAAACCATATCCTGTTGATTGTGTTGGTTAAAACCATATCCTGTTGATTGTGTTGGTTAAAACCATATGTTGTTAATTGTATAGTTAAAACCATATGTTGATTGTGTTGTTAAAACCATATCCTGTTGAATGTGTTGGTTAAAACCATATCCTGTTGAATGTGTTGGTTAAAACCATATGTTGTTGATTGGGTTAGTTAAACCAAATATATTGTTAATTGTGTTTGTTAAAACCATATGTTGTTAATTGTGTTTGTTAAAACCATATGTTTAATCAAAATTGGCAAACATGTTTTTTCATGGTACTTTTGCTTATTTGATACATACTTTACTTTGCATAGGCCAGATTTTTGCTGCATTAGCAATTAATTTAGTTAAGGATGCACCTTAGCATAAAAAGCCTCACACTTTCATGTTTACACACACACACACACACTTCTATAAACAATAATCACATTTTGTTTTTTCTTTGTTTCACAAATAGTTTAACAACAAAATGCATACAAGCTAAACACACTATAATTGATCATTAACATTTACTTAGCTAGAAAAAAAGTTGAACCAGAATTATGTAAAACTATGTACATGGACTTTAATGTTTTGAAATTTTTGTACAATTTGTGTTATTATTCATAGAAAAAACTGGAAGCTACACATGTTATTGTAAATTGTTTTTCACATAGAAAAAAATGGTAAACATTTTTAGAAAGAACTGTAGTAATTTTTTTTTATAACAAGTATATTATAACAGTACCATATTATCACAACTTTTGCTTTAGAATGTCAAATTTGTGTTTAGTTAAAATAGTAACCTTGTGGCTTATTTCTTACAAAGTTTACTTGTTACTGAAGTGTATCATTGTGTTTTGTACAACATACACCTCAACCTCCATTACTGTCTGATATACGGTAAGACAGTTTTCATGTTTACTTAATGAGTTACAAAACGAGCAGCCTAGCATGGCCTAGTTTTTAGGGCGCTTTACTCCCAACTTGTAGGTCACAGGATCAACTTCCATCCCTGAATGTGCTCACCCCTTTTCAGCTGTGGGATCATTATATATATGACAATCAGTTCCAATAGTTGTTAATAAAGAATAGCTCAAGAACTGGCAGCAGTGTTCCCTCTAAACTACACAGCTGCATGGTCTCACAACAACCAATCAAGTGCTGCACACTTAATTATTCCAGCCAAGCACATCCTCATTAATGGTGAGGAGTATCAACACGTTGATGGCCTTAATGACCCTGGCTGTTGATAGGCCGCAAGTGCAAATAACCAACTGGTAGCGTTGCAAAGCAGCCTAATGATTCAATTTGGTTGATGGTCTAGAAATCCCCCCCCCCCCCCCCC